TGCCACTGGCTGGTACAGTCTGTTTGTGCCATTTCGGGGTGCAGGAGACGGGGAACCCCCAACGCGCCGTCACAGGCACGCCAGTGCCTAATAAATATCGTATAACCCTCTACCTTTTCCCTCTGCTGCCCTGTCTCCTCCCCTTGCTCCATCAGCTCCCCTGGTGCCTGCTGCCCCCCAACCCCTCACCCTCCTCCGCTGTCCTGACTCCTGCCCTTCTCACTTGCCTCAGCCCTCCTGAGACCTGCTCTCCTCCACCAGCCTTTCTCTCCCCCCTGTGCCCACTCCTCCAGTAGCCCCACTCTGATCATGTGAGCTACCCCTCCTCATCCCCTCTCCTAACACCTCCCTCTACACACCTGCAGATAGCCTCAGACAGCAGCCACACAAAGCAACTACTTACCTGATGCCCTGCCAGAACCGGTTTCAGCTGCCCTTAAATGCCCCCCTGCGTCCAATCAGTGTGGACGCGCTAGTTCGAATTAGCAAAACGCTAATTCGAACTAGTTTTTAGTTCTAGACGCGCTAGTTCGAATTAGCTTAGTTCGAATTAACTAATTCGAACTAAGTTAGTTCGAATTAGCACTGTAGTGTAGACATACCCACAGAGAGCTATCCACAGTGACTCCAAGATCTCTCTCTTGAGTAGCTGTAGCTCAATCAGTCCTCATCATATTGTATGGAGAGTTGGGATTATTTTTTCTAATATGCATTATGTTTCATTTATCAACATTAAAATTCTTTTGCCAATTTGTTGCCCAATAACCTAGTTGCATGAGATCTTTTTGAAGCTCTTCACAGTCTGCTTTTCTGCTTTGATCTTAACTGTCTTGAGCAGTTTGGTATCATCTGCAAATTTTGCCACCGCACTGTTTACCCCTTTCTACAGATCATTTATAAATAAGTTGAATAGGATTGGTTCCAGGACAGACCCTTGGGGGACTCCACTAGTTACCTTTCTGCACTCTGAAAACTGCCCATTTATTCCTACCCTTTGTTTCTTGTCCAGTTATCAATCAATGAAAGGACCCTCCCTCTTATCCCGTGACAACTTACTTTACTTAAGAGCCTTTGGTGAGGGACTTTGTCAAAGACTTTCTGACAATCTAAGTACACTATATCTACTGGATCCCAAACAAATTATGTTCTGACAATTTGATTCTTTACTATAGTTTCAGTTAATTTGCCCAGTAATGACGTTAGACTTACTGCTCTGTAATTGCCAGTATCACCTCTAAAGCCCTTTTTATATATTGGTGTCACATTAGCTATAACATAATTTCCTGCCTCGCTCTCATAAATCCCAGCATGAATGTATCCTTCCTCATCCCCACCCTGAGTACCTTTATTGACTGAACATTTCAGCCTTATAGCATGTCAAAATGTGATATTTTAAGGACCATTTCTAAGATTTCCAAGCTCCCGATACGTGGATGGGGATGGGGAGAAAGGAGTTCACAAATGTCGCAGAGCGGCCATGCACAAGTGTTTCTAGGTGTATTTCTCTGCAGCCCCACATGCTACTCCTGCAGGTGCTGGACATCAACGTGCTGGTGTCTGACCCCCTCTTAGTTTTCTCAGAGCTGTCTTCACCTCCTTATTCCGCAGGGTGTAGATGAGCGGGTTCAGCATGGGTGTGACCACATTGCCGAAGATCTGCACAGGGGTCACCAGCACTTTGCTCAGCTGGGGCTGGGTGTAGATCAAAGCACAGGGCCCGAAGAAGAGCATCACCACCGCCAGATGGGAGGCGCAAGTGGAGGCCGCTTTGCGCCGCCCTTCACCCGAATTCATCTTCACAACGGTGTAGACAATGCGGACGTAGGACACGAGGATGAGAGTGAAGCAAGTCATGGGCACCATTCCAGTGTTGGTGAAGGTCACGGTCTCAATGATGTACGTGTCCCCACAGGCCAGCTTGGCCACAGGGAATATGTCACAGAAAAAATAGTCCACCACGTTGGACCTACAGTAGGGCAGCGTGAAGGTCAGGCTGGTGAGGATGGTGGCGTGGAAGGAGCTGGTGATCCAGGTGCCGGCAGCCAGGAGAGTGCACACCCGCCAGTTCATGATGACCAGGTAGCGCAGCGGGTAGCAAATGGCCACGTACCGGTCTAAGGCCATGACCGTGTAGAGCAGGCACTCGGTGCTGCCCAGGAAGTGATAGAAGAAGACCTGGGCCATGCACCCGCCCAGAGAGATGGTTCTACTGTTGGCCCAGAGGTTGGCCAGAAATTTAGGGGTACTGATGGAGGAAAAACCAATGTCAAGCACAGCGAGGTTGCCGAGGAAGAAGTACATGGGGGTGTGCAGGCTGGGGTCGGCGAGGACGGCTGAGAAGATGAGCAGGTTGCCCAGCAGGGTGCAGAGGTAGAAGGCTAAGAAGGTGAAGAAGAGGATGGTCTGGAGGCCATCGGTGTTTGGGATCCCCAGAAGGATGAAGTAATTCACCATACTGTGGTTGGCCGGCCCCACATGGGTCTCGGTCCTGAGGTAGAGGAGAAAAATAACACCAGTGGGTTCCTGAAAGGAAAATGCTCACTCCTCCTTCCTCTGCCTGCATTGCTGAGTTTGGCTGGTGGTGTAGGTGGTTCTTACACGGTAATGCCTCTTAGGTCAGGGCCTCCCACGCCTGGTACTGCACTGACTGGCAGTGAGCACAGAAAGACAAAGCATCTGCCTTGAAAATGGTACAGTCCAAAGAGGAAGAGAGAAAAGTGAGTATGGTCAGACCACAGTTCTATCTGGCCAGTACCCTGTCCTTTGACAATGGCCAATAGCTAGTGGGAATGAAAAGAGCAGGTAATTATCAAGTGATCCTTTCTCCTTCGCCCATTCCCTGCTCTTCCAGAGGTTAGGGACACTTGCCCTGCCCATCCTGGCTAATAGCCATTGATGAACCTAACCTCCGTGAATTTATCGAGCTCTTTCTGGAACCCTGTCACAGCCTTCCCCTTCACAGCATCCTTTTCCAAGGAGTTCCACAGGTTTACTATGCATTCTGTGAAGAACTACTGCCTTTGGATTGTTTAAAACCTGCTTCCTATTCATTTCATTTGGCAACCCCTAGTTCTTGCACAATGAGGCATACGTGACACTTCCTTATTTACTTTCTCCTCGTCAGTCATGATTTTATAAACTTCTATCACATCTCCCCTTAGTTGTCTCTATTCCAAGCTGAAAAGTAACAGTCTTTTCTCTTCAGATGGAAGTCATTTCTTACCCCAGTCATGTTTGTTGCCCTGTTTGGAAACTGTCACAAACTGAATACATCTTTTTGAAATGAGACAACCACATCTGCACCCAGAATTCGTGATGTGAGGGTACCATGGATTTACATAGAGACACCGTCAGGTTTTCTTTCTGATTATCTAGCCCTTTCTTAACGATTCCCAACATTCTGTTTGCTTTTTTGACTGCCGCTGAATCCTCAATGGCTCCAGTTTCTCTTTCTTGAGGGGTAACAGCTAGTTTTGATCCCTGCCTTTTACAGGCCCAGTTGGGATTCTGTTTTCCAATGTGAATGATTCTGCATTTATCAACATAGAATTTCATCGGCTCTTTTGTGGTCCCTGTTTGCAATATGCCCTGTTAGCCCTTCACAGTCTGCTTCAGATTGAACTCTCTGGAGTAGTTTTGTACCAGCTGCAAATGTTTCCACTTCATTGTTTAACCCTTTTCCCAGATCATGTATGAATATGTTGGAAAGGCCTGGTCCCAGGACAGACCTCTTAGATACAGGACTAGTTACCTCTCTCCGTTCTGAGAACGGGCCATTTATTCCTACCCTTTGTTTCCTGTCTTCTAACCATTTCCTGGTCCATGAGAGGACCCTCCCTCTTGTCCCAGGACAGTTCACTTTGCTTAAGAGCCTTTGTTGAGGGACTTTTTCAAAGACTTTCTGGACATCCGAGTACACTATATCCACCGGATCCCCCTGGTCCACAAGCTTGTTGTCAGCCATGGAGACTGATGCAAAGGATTTATTTAGTTTCTCCATGATGGCATTACCACCCTGGAGGGCTCCTTTGCCCTGGTGGGCAAATACCGGCCTGTGGGCTGGATCCAGTCTGCCAAGGGTTGACAGGCCCCACCCCACCATATTTACCTGTGCCTCTGCAGGCAGGGGGATCACGGCTCCCATTGGCCACGGATTGCCGTTCCTGGCCAATGGGAGCTGCGAGTGCCTGTACCTGGGAGGTGCAGGTAAATAGCATGATGTGGAGAACCCTGGTGAACCGCTGCCACTTTATTTCCCACCTTGTCCTTAAGTCTGTGAATTACTCCCAGGGTCTTTGGCCAGGTCCTAATCAAACGCTGTTTCGTCTTCTGAAGCCCGTCTTTTACGCTTCACGGGCCAGAGTTTAGGCTCCTTTCTACTTGCCTCACTAGGATCTCCCTGCTGCTTTTCAAAGGATGCCTTTTTGCCTCTCACTGCTTCTTTCACTTTGTTGTGCAGCCGCAGAGGCACTCACTGGTCTTCTTCCTACATACTGTTTAAATCTGGGGGAGAACATTTACATTTAGCCTTTCTTATGGTCTTTCAGAAGTTTCCACATAGTTTCTAATCTCTTCTCTTGTGTCCGATCCCCATTTCCTAAATTTCTCTCTCTCTTTCCCACCCTTCTCCCCGCAGTACCTTAGAGCCTTTCATTGCTGGCTAATATTCCCGTTGTTTTGTCTTGTCCACTCTCTCGCTCCCGCTTGCCTCAAACGGAGGGCTGTGAGCGCAGGGCAACACATGGGTCTGGTAGGCATTTGTTGTTATTAATGCACAACCTGCCACATGGCTGTGTTAAGTAAGAGGAGGCGGGTGGAATACACACATTGAGGAATGCAGTGAAGAATTGCCCCAGTGTGGTTACTGATCCGAGCCATCAGGAGTTGGGGGGAGCATTAGAAGAAAATGATAGAGACCAAGGGGAATGGTTACCAATGGGAGTGCCGGAGCTCAGAGTTCAGGGCGGTGGCTGCAGCGCCTGGCTTGATGTGGTTCCACCAAACCCCGGGTCCACAGGTTCAGTCAGTGTCTTTCAGTGCCCCCAATACACAGAGTTCTTGCCCCCCGCATGCCACAGCTCGTCACAGCATCGTCTGTGACTGTACATGACTTGCCACAGGGGCCTTGTAGGGACATTTGAAGGACAAAAGCAAAGTCTCTCTGCATTTTGCCAAGGAGGTGGGAAGTGGAGGGATGGTGGGTGGGGAGGGGCAGGGTGTCAGGGGAGAGGCTGGAGGGGGGTTGTGGCAGATGGGGAGGGGCAGGGCTGCAGGGCAGATGCTGGCAGGAGGGATATGGCAGATGGGGAGAGACAGATCACTGACACAGACACAGCCCAGAGGCAGGCGCTGCACAGACGCGGTCAGGGGCTGGGTGGATAGTTCTCTACAGAACACCCCTGGCTGACAGGCCCTGGGGGCGGGGCAGGAGCCAGGCCAGAGACAGACAGAGACCGAGGGGCAGTGAGAGAAGGTCAGTACCAAAGCAGGCGCCTTACACTGGCTGCATGGGCAGAGGCGGCTCCAGCTGACTGGGATTCTTCCCTTCTGCCCCGGCCGGGACTCCTGTGGCCCCATCCAGCGTCTTCCCCGGCCCGGCCCAGACCAGCGCCCGGGAGAGGGGCCCAGCCTGGAGCCCTAATGCACTGGCAAGCTGGCCGGGGCTGCCCCTGTATCTCGCCTAGCGCTGCTGCCGAGCCCGCAGCTTCCCACCACTTCCTGCAGCCTCCTGGCTCCGCCTGGGCCTTAAATCCCCTCCGGGGCCCCTCAGGACCAGCCCTGAATCCCCACCAGGTTTGGGAGAGTTGCCAATTACCAGAGATTTTTCTTCATTTCAGAGAACGCTCATAGACTCCACTGGATCCCTGGGGGCTCTTTCCCCTCAGCCACCTGGGCCCGGAGAAGCCAGGACTGTGTTGACTGGTATCTAAGGAGCTGGGAGTATTTCCACCTGCGGAGAATCTAAGCCAGGTGTTTTAATGGGAGATGGGACATTCATACTCTTCTGTGCCTGCAACATGGCAGCGATTCTGAGGAGAACTGAGAGAGTCAAATCAGCGTGAGCGTCTTGGAACCAGGCCACTTACAGCCCAAGCCTGGGGGTCCTCCCTCATAGGGCACCAAGCCAGTCACTCCTGTTTGTCACTGGCCAGCAAGTAGTCACACAAACAACCCCCTTAGACGCTCCAGCTTTTCCAGAGCCATAGTCAGTACCAGTCCTTAGACATCCCACCAAATCCAAACAGGTTCTTCCAATGCAGCCACAGTCCCAGGTCAATTTATACCTCAGATCCTGCCCTAAAGAGCTCGCTGGGCCAGTCCTCAAGAATCCAACAGCTGAAGGTTTGGTAATACAAAGAACAACAAGAAAAGGTCCAGAGTGACTGCGTTATAGGACTCGAATTACACCCCATTTGCAAAGCTCTTGGCAAAGGCTCGTAGCAGAGAGGGAACAATCTGCTGGTTTACAAGTCTGAGGAACACGCCCTTTGTTAGGGGGGTCGTGGGTTCTCTGGGGCCCAGTTCATAGCACAGGCGCTTCAGCAATGAGGAGCTAGAACGAGTGTGGAAATGAAGAGCAAGGTGGGAAAACCCGCAGAGCCCACGTGTTCCCCGTGCCAAAGTGAGCCCCAAATGGAGTCTGTCCCATGATCAGTCACTCGTCCAGGCAGGACTCCATAGCAGCCATTGCCAGCTTGCTGGCCTGAAAGTCCACAGCCAAGTTCCTCAGATGTGGATTGGCCCCACTTGAGCTCCATTGTCCATTGCGAGTCACTTGACTCGCTGCCCTATCCCAATAGCTAGACCAAGCCTGTCTCCCAGGAGCAAACCTCTGAAATGAAGCACAGAGCTAGTACTGCTAACTCCAAACGCAAACACGGCCCATGCGTGTGAGTAGCGTAAACATCCCCAGCACCTCCTCAGCTTGCCCCAGACACCGAACTGGGTCACTTGGCTCAAGATCTGGTTGAAACACGTCACAGTGGTTGTGACAATGTTCATCTCAGAAGCCAACGATGCCACAAAGTTCTGCTGCTGTGTGACAAAACACCAGCGGTGGCAAGAGCTGGAAACTGGGCCAGAGGTTCAGCTCGAGGCCTCTGGGTCCAAGAGCACCTTGTATGTCCCACTGTTGCCCTGCCCCCTTCTGTCTCAGCGATGTGCTCATGCATTGGCTGAGGGACACCAAGGGGAACAGAGAGGGGACATGAGGGGCCATTCCATTTATCAGTAACATTTTGGCTCGGTCGCCAGGAGCGTGAGTCACCTGTGCCTATCTGTGAGGCTGGGCAGAAATAGGATGAAGTTGAATAATGACAAATGCAAAGTGCTCCACTGAGGAAGGAACAATCTGTCTCACACTCACAGAATGGGAGGTGACTGTCTAGGAAGGAGTCCTGCAGAAAGGGATCTAGGGGTCAGAGTGGACCACAAGCTAAATATGAGTCAACAGAGTGACACTGCTGAAAAAAAGCCAACATGATTCTTGGCGGCATGAACAGGAGTGTTGTGAGCAAGACACGAGAAGTCATTCTTCCGCTCTGCTCTGCGCTGATTAAGCCTCAGTTGGACTATTGTGTCCAGTTCTGGGCATCACATTTCAAAAAAGATGTGCAGAGATTAGAGAAAGTCCAGAGAAGAGCAACAAAAATAAATAAAAAGGGCTAGAAAACATGGCCTAGGAGGAAGGAATTGGGCTTGTTTAGTTTGGAAAGAAGACGACTGAGAGGGGACATGAGAGCAGTTTTCAAGTATCTAAAAGGGTGTCACAAGGAGAAGGGAGAAAAATTGTTCTCCTTGGCCTGTGAGGATAGGACAAGAAGCAATGGGCTGAAACTGCAGCAAGGGAGGTTTAGGTTGGACATTAGGAAAAACGTCCTGCCTGTCAGGGGGTTAAACACTGGAATAAATTGCTTAGGGAGGTTGTGAAATCTCCATCACTGGAGATATTTAAGAAGAGGTTGGACAGACACCTGTTGGGGATGACTTAGATGGCATTGGGTCCTGCCGTGAGGGCAGGGGCCTGGACTTGATGCCTTTTCATGGTCCCTTCCAGTTCCGGTGTTTTACAATTCGATGATTCATCCAATTCCTCTCCCATGGGTTTTGCCCATGAAAGCTCAGGATTCTCTGGATTTTGGGTAGACTCTTATTTAGCTACCGCCTGCTAGTGGAGGAGCAGCTTTGGTTAAGTTAATTCAGCTGTGAAGCTCTAAAGACTTTCCCTCCTGAACCCTAATTGCACAGAGGGAGTGGGAGGAGAACCAGCCCAGGGCCCAGGAGGAGGCAGTGACCCTCAGGCCAGAGGAGAGGTGGGATGGATAACACTTCCCTGGGCTGGGATAGACAGACAGCAAACTGCGACAGGCCGAGTCTGTCTCACTGCATCTGAGTGGCCTGTAGAATAAGGGTGTCACGATCTCAAGGCTACTAATGCAGATCATGTCACTTTTCTCCACCAGCTGGGAAAGTGGCACTGGACATGGTCCGACACCCCTGCTGCGTATCACACTACAGGGCTGGCAGTTTGCTGTGTCTGTCTACACAGCCACAGACACCACACAGAGGGGGAGGGGAGGGGAGGGACAGGGCTAGTTTAAGGGGGCTTCCAATGGTGATCTCCTCCCACCATTCGCTGCTGTCCCACCACCGCCGTTCTAAGGCCCCTTGGGATTCCTCTCATTGCTATTGATTCCTGCTCCTCTTTCTTATGTGGGAGCCGGGGTGCCGGGGCAGGCGGCAGATGTGATAATTAATCTCTGTAGACGTGATATGCCCAACCAAGCCAGCATCCCATGGTGTGCAGGAGCCATTGGATTTAATTAAAATGTCGGCAGTGCTAACGAGTCCCCAGGCTAGGCCGTCCCACTGCGCTGGGTCGCAGGCCCAGGAGCGACTCTTGGTTTGCATCAGCTGAGATCTGTGTATCGTGGCAGGCGGCAGATGTGATAATTAATCTCTGTAGACGTGATATGCCCAACCAAGCCAGCATCCCATGGT